CAAATCATATTTTTAATTGCAAAAAGTAACGTGATATCGCGTAAAATTTATGAACAGACCGGTTGGAGTGTGTAATAGGCTGCCTCTAACCCGAGTTAATTAGTAATCGAAAATGCCACAGAAAGGTATCATGCAGCATGAACAGCCTAATTTTGGTTACGTTGCAAAAAAGCGATTTAAAAATATGATTTGGCGCTAGGGTTGGGACTCGCGACAGTCAACCCAACATAGACATGCATTGTCAAATGAAACTCGATTTCGTGGATTTTAAAATTAAATTTAAGCAATGATGCATCACAAGGTGTGTGATTGCATGAAATCGAGAAAATTTATGCAAATTAAAATGCCTGGCTTTTATTATAATACGTTCTTTTGAGCCTAACATGCAACCTGATGAATCTGTGCTATCAAATTTAAAAAAATGCATTTCCCTTCGAGAAAAATATATCAATTCATCGATTCAATCTCCATTTGAAAATCCACAAAACATTGCAAATTGTGTCTCTGATCCGCCTAAAATTGCTGAAGAGGATCTTTCATATTATCACAAAGATCATTCGCACCCTTTTTTTAGCAATTTGGCAGACTCAGATGACATCCATTGTCCCAAAAATGTTGGGCGAGCCTATCATTTAAATTCGTATAGGCTAAGGTCGTGTTTTATACCGCCTTCAAATGATCATTCGTTTGAATTGGGGGATGATGGAGTATTCAAGGTCTACAATGGGCCCTGCTTACAAGACGACGCTCCGTCGCCAATATTTTTTTCGCCATCAATCAAAGAGTTCTTCCAAGATTTAGAGTTTCTGTTGGCTGTCATTCATGATGGACCTACAAAATCTCTTTGCTTTAAAAGGCTAAAATACCTGGATGCTTCTTTTGGCATTTACCTGCTGCTCAATGAGATGAATGAGGTTCAAGAGCAAAAGGTAAGCTTCCCACCAAAAATAGCCCATTAGACGGTCCCGCATCGCGATTTTTATAACGTTCGTAAGGTGGATACCCACGTGCACCACTCTGCTTGCATGAATCAAAAACATCTGCTCCGCTTTATCAAGTCCAAACTAAGAAGATCGCCAAATGTAACTAGCTTTCCTAACCTTAGGATGTTGTAATCCAGCGAGATGGGGCTTTTCTGACTCTTCAAGAGGTTTTTCAGTCCCTAAATTTGACCGCCCACGACTTGAGCATTGATACTCTAAATATGCACGCGCACAAGGATAGCTTTCACCGGTTTGATAATTTCAACCTGAAATATAACCCAATGGGAGAGTCTCGTTTGAGAGAAATTTTTCTGAAAACCGACAATTTAATCGAAGGCCGCTATCTCAGTGAATTGACCAAAGAAGTTTTGTCCGACTTGGAGGCGAACAAGTACCAAATGGCTGAATACCGCATCTCCATATACGGCCGGTCTCCCGATGAATGGGATAAGCTTTCAAAATGGATATGCGACAATCAGATTTTCTCGGATACCGTTCGATGGGTGATACAGCTTCCGCGTTTGTACAATGTATACAAAGCCTCGGGCTTGATCTCTTCATTTGCCGATTTTTTGGACAACATTTTCCGGCCGCTATTCCAAGTTACCAAGGACCCATCTTCAAATCCAAAGCTTCATATTTTCCTTCAACGTGTTGTTGCCTTTGACAGCGTTGACGACGAATCCAAGGTTGACAAGCGAATCCATAAGAAATTTCCAAGTCCAAGAAATTGGAATGCAGCTCAAAACCCCCCATATTCTTACTATCTGTACTACATATATGCCAACTTGACGATTTTAAACCAGTATCGCAAGAAATACAACATGAGTTAGCGTTTTAGCTCTGATAACTTTGTAGATACTTTTTTGTTCCGGCCACATTCAGGCGAAGCTGGAGACCCGGAGCACCTGGCCGCTGCATTTCTGACATCATATAACATATCTCATGGAATACTATTGAGAAAAGTCCCTGCTCTTCAATATTTATTTTACCTAATGCAGATAGGCATAGCAATGTCACCGCTGTCAAACAATGCTCTTTTCTTGAACTTTGATAGAAATCCATTTCCACATTATTTCAGGATCGGAATGAACGTCTCGCTATCGACCGATGATCCCCTGCAATTCCACTTTACAAAAGAGCCGCTAATTGAGGAGTATAGTGTTGCAGCACAGATTTGGAAATTATCGCCAACCGATATGTGCGAGATAAGTCGAAATAGCGTTTTGCAAAGCGGCTTTGAAATTTGTTTGAAAAAACTGTGGCTTGGAAACATGTGCATGGTAGACGGACCAATTTCTAACGACATGAAAAAAAGCAATATTCCCGATCTCCGAATCAATTATCGCTGTGATATGCTGTCCAGAGAACGGCTCTGGGTTTCCTCTTTGGGAAAATCTTCCTTCTACTCTTCAGTATTGTCTAGCATTTTGACCACCCTTGCGCCCATAAGTACCACTTCGGCCAACACCATGGGGGAGCTAGACAAACTTGAGGATGACGCAAATTTTGAATAAAGTTTAAAATTTTTCTTATGGAGTCCAAAAAGACCAAATACATCCACAAGGTTGGATCCAATTCGGGCACCATTGAGCTGCCCATTGGGGGCCACAATAGCGATTCCGATGATTTAGATTTAGACACAAGTGAGATTTCCATTTAAACATATTAGTCCCACATAAGTTTACCGAACTTCCAGACTCCGACGGGCTTCAAGGCGACAGTGACGAGGAGAGCAAAAACGGAGACAATCAAACCTCTTCAGACGACGATGATTATCGAGAAGGAGACAAGAATTCTGATGCAAATCAACATCAAATGAGACTCATTCATAAAAGCGGCCAATCCGACCAGGAGATGGACGATGAGGATGGAATTTTGGATGAAGAGTTTTCTGAAGCCGAAACCGACTTTACTCCGTTCAATATGAAAAATGAGCTGGAGCAGGGCGAACTAGATACGCTTTCCTTTTATAATAAGAAAAAATCCCCCGACCAAGGCGATGAGTCGTGGATATATAAAGCCTCGGCAGAGGATACCGAAAAGGTAGCGCTCTATTTCCAACATCCAGGCAAAGCAGGCATATGACCGGAAAAAAATCGAAGCCGAAAATAGGGCCAAACGCGAAGAGGAGCATCTTAAGACGCTATCAATTCAAGATATATGTGGCCATTTGTTAAAGTGGATCGATCCTTCTGATGCCAATGTTTTTAAAGTAATCGTATGCTTTTATTTTTAGACTATTTCTAGGATCGGTAGAGAGCTAAAAAATGATCCATTCAAAAGAAAAGAGTCGATAGACACTATCACTGACCTCTGTTCCTCTGCAATAGCATTGGGATATTCAAGTACCCAATGGCTCCAAATAACGCCTAGATATTTACGATGAAAGCAGGGCATCGTTGCTTGAGATTTCACAAGGAAACCACAAGCCAACTGCAAAAAGATCTGCATTTTAATGGCACCATTTAAAGGGCGAATAAAATTTTCAGTCTCTTCAATTGCAGTGGTGCCCAACATTTACAAGTGCAAATTAATAACGCAGAATCAAATCATGATCAGTGGTAGCGACAATTCAAAATATCAAAAATTCTCGTAGATTTTAACTCTTTAGGCAATGGCAGGAAGCCCGTCTACAAAAGAGATCCCTATTTGGATATATGATAAATCCCTTGGACGATACATCGAGGGCTTCATTAAATCCCAATCTTCGACCTCACCATCCTACGCTGATGCCATGAAAGACGACTCGTCAAGCGATGAAAGCATAGATGTCCACTTTATGGATTCAAGCAAATCAATTAAAGTTTTAAAAAGAATTATCCAGTTGAAAAATCCGGAAAAATACGAATATCCTGTTGACCTTGCTTATTTGACGTTTTTGAACGAGGCCTCGATTGTGCATGTTCTTTCCCATCGCTACATGAACGACTTGATGTACACTTTTTCTGGAATCTTTTTGATCTCAATCAATCCCTATCGGCAAGTTCCAAATCTATATTCGGACTCTGTGGTCAGCCACTACCAAGCAGCATCTTGTGAGCCTCAAAAGCAACAGCCACACATATTTGCAGTAGCCGCTTCGGCATACAACAATCTCAGGGAATTCAAAACCAACCAATCGATCCTGGTTACTGGGGAGAGCGGTTCTGGGAAAACGGAGAATACCAAAAAACTGTGCCAGTTTTTTGCTACCCGCGGCTCTAATTGTAGCAGCTCGATTGAGGCGCTTATAAACCTGACAAATCCCATTCTGGAAAGCTTTGGAAATGCAAAGACCATCAGAAACAACAATTCATCCAGATTTGGGAAATACATCCGTCTTCAGTTCTCTAGCCAAGGCGAGCTCAGCGGAGCCAATATTGACTGCTACCTTCTGGAAAAAAGTAGGGTCACGCATCACGCCCCATTGGAACGGTCTTTCCATGTGTTTTATCAGCTGATTTATGGCGCGTCGGCCGAATTAAGAGGTTAGCAAGCGGTTAGCTTTTATCATGTAGAGGCGTTGTTTTTAAGCAATAATTTGGACGACTATTTGTTGCTAAAGCCTAACGACCAGTTTGACATATCCCCTCAACAGGACATCGATAATTTTAAAGAGCTAATTCACGCGTTTGAGGCGCTTGGAATTGCGTATGAAGAGTATCTTTTTTATTTCAAATCCATTGCCGTGATTCTTCACCTTGGCAATGTTCAAATATCGTGTCGAAATGAGAATGAGAATGAAACATACGTTTTGGATCCCAAGCACTTGGAGCATGTAATGGCGCTTTTGGGTCTCCCGTCTACGGAAACACTGATATCGTCTATTTTGAAGCCAAACATCACGGCAGGAAGAGATGTCGTCGTCAAAGGACTCACTTGCGATCAGATATCAGAGTCTCTGGGGACGTTTATGAGATCGCTTTATGAGCGTACATTTAATTCCATCATTTCGCGGCTCAACTCGATTTTCTATAAACAGGAACACTCTGCTCGGTTCATTGGCCTTTTGGATATGGCTGGGTTTGAAATCTTTGAGAAAAACTCGTTTGAACAGCTTTGCATCAACTACACAAACGAAAAGCTACAGCAGTTTTTCAATCAGCACATGTTCCATCGTGAGCAATTGGAGTACAAAAATGAGGGCATTGACTGGAACTACATTGACTACGGGCTTGACTTGCAGCCCACCATCGACTTGCTTGAAAAGTCGTCGCCGGCAGGTATCTTTTCCCTGCTCGACGAAGAGTGCGTACTGCCAATGACATCCGACAGCTCTTTCACGGAAAAGGTAACTTCTAGTTGGAAGGGAAAGTCCATTAAATTCGAGCAGCATCGCTTTTCTTCCAACAAAGGGTTTTTTCTGACCCACTATGCAGGCAAGGTGCAATACTCGACCGATGGCTGGATATCTAAGAACAAGGATCCCATCAACGAAACGCTGTCTGCCTTGATGACCACCTCAAGTGTTAGCTATTATGTGTCCCTATTTTCTGATTTTCAGTCTGCCACCAGAACCTCGGTTCCTGGGACCGGCTGCTTTTTCAAGACGTTATTGCAAAAGTACAAGGAGCAGCTTAATACGCTGATGCTAAACCTGCATTCTTGTAGCCCCCATTTTGTTCGCTGCATCGTGCCAAATAAGACAAAGTCGCCATTTCTAATTAACCACTCCTACGTGATTGACCAGCTCAACTGCAATGGCGTTCTTGAGGGAATAAGAATTTGCCGCAACGGCTACCCCAATCGATTGTTTTTTTCGGACTTCAAGCGAAGCTACTTTATTCTCTCAAAAGAGTGCATGGCAAACCTGTTGCATTCTGACGATAAAAGCCTGTGCAAAATTATTTTGGAAGAGTTTCAATCGCTGTTGCCGCAAAACTCGTACCAAATTGGAAAGTCCAAAATCATGTTCAAGGCTGGCGTGTTGGCGATACTTGAATCCCATCGAGATCATATCATTTCTTCGATGATTTCTTCTTTCCAGGCTGTTGCTAGCAATTTGTTGTGCATGCAAAGACTGAGCTCCAAGTCGGAGACAGCAAAGGCCGTCGGTCTTGTTGGCTCGTATCTCAAGGAAATTAACGGGTTTTATAACTGGCCATGGTGGAAGGTTATTTCATCAATCAAGCCGATCTTGGAAAGCCGCCACGTCGAGATGCAAACGAAGCTCGTAAATGAAGAGATAGCATCTCTTCAAGCCGAAAGACTCGAGCTGATAGCAAAAATCAACGCGCTTGGATGTGAAAACGAGGAGCTAAGGCTAAATATTGCCACCAAAAGTGAAGATCTTGAGCTTGTTTCGTCCTCTTATAGCGAGGTTAGCTGTGCAAAAGACTTGCTGGCCAAGGTGAATGATGAGCAAACACAGGAAATTTCCAGACTAAGATCAAACATGGAGTGTTCTTCCGAGTCTTTCAAGGCTCAAATTGACGAACAGCTTGGTAAGGTCCAAACTTTGCAAGACATTGTGTCTTCATTGACAGACGAAAATTTCAATTTGACCGCCAATTTAAAGGAGCAGGAACAGAATGTTGAAAGCATCTCCCAAAAAGCATGCTTGTTGGAGTCAAAAAACCAGGAATCTGAACATAGGATTTGCGAGCTCGAAAATGAAATAGAGTCCCTCACTTTGCAAAACCAAGATTTTGCCAGTTCAAATCATAGTCACATGGTTGAAATTGAAAGGCTAAAAGCAGATCTGGAGTCCACAAATAGAAGACACGAGGCATACAGGACCGAATTGACCTCCCAGCTCGATGATTTCAAGCAAAAATACTCGGTGTCCGTCAATCAGCTTCGGACAGAAAATTCGGCGCTATCTTCAAAGCTGCAAGAAAGTGAAAAGATGGCGCGCGACACCAATGAATCTTTACAGCTCAGCATTTCGACCAAAAAGGACACCGAGCTTGATGCAAAAGATAGAGAGCTAAAGCTTCTTTCGCAAAAATACATTTCGCTTTGCGATAATCATGCCTGGGCCCAGAAATCGATCGAGGAACTCAAGAACAAAGTGTTCCACATCGATTCTCTTTTGTTGAAAAATGAAGCCGAATACTTGCAAAATGTTTCCAACTTTGAGGCGAAAAATTATACTTTGTCGTCTGAACTGTCATCCGCGACTTACAAGCTCCAAGATTTCGAGGAAAAATATTCGCGAATCAAAGAAACTGCGGAAAGCACGCTTTTGTGCTTGAATGAGGCCCAGGAGAGTCTATTGCTCGTTCAAAGGGAAAATGACCAGCTGCAAGAGACCATTTGTTCGCTAACGAAGAGTTTGCACCAGGCCCATTCAAACTTGCAGGATTCAAAATCCGAACTTACTTCTCTTGAAAAGCGACACACCCAAGAGGTGGAATATCGCCAGAACCTGCAATGTGAACTGAAAGAGTCTTCCATTAGAATCACGGAATTGGAATCGCAGCTCTTTTGCTATAAAAAGCAAGTTTCCGAATTGAAAGCCAACGATGAGGAGGTCAGCATATCTTATGAAAGGAAGGTTTCTTCTTTGGAGAAAAAGCTGCTCAAACTTGAAAACAAGGTGCTTTCTTTGCAGGAAACCCTTGCACAGGTCGAAGTAGAAAGAAAAACTCTCATCAATGACAAGTTGTCTTATGAATGTAAAATCTCACTGCTCGAGCTAAATTTGAGCGACGTTTCTTCTCACCTTGAAGCGTCGACGGCACAAATCGGAATTTTAAAAGACGAATCAGCCTCGCTGTTATTTTTGATCTCTTCTCTTGAAAAGGACAAGATAGACATGCAAGATCAGCTTAGATCTTTGCACGAGCAACATGATGCTGAAAAACAGGAGTCTCAAAAAACAATGGACTCTCTTAATGACGAAATTGTGCAATTAAACTCGAAACTTTCGGATCTCAAATCGGCCCTTGATGAGAATGTTAAAACCATTGAGGAGCTTCATCGTCAAGAAGAATGCTTGCGAGAGGCACATAAAATATCGATGCTTTCAACTTCCGAAAAAGAGGCTCAATTAAACGAATCGCTGGCCGATGTTAACGAAAGGCTCGTAAAGTATGAGAAGGGACAACTATTTGCAAACGAGCTGCTTGAAAAAGTAAAGGAATATGAGCAAACTATCGAGTCTCTGAAGGACGAAAACTCTTCTTTAGGAACAAGTATCTACGGCCTGCACTCGGAAAAGGATATTTTGCAGTCCACGCTAAGGCTAACAGAGGACGAGTTTCGGTGTCTCCAGCGTGTTCATGACACGCTACTGCAAAAATACAAGGATGCACAATCTTTATCGGATAAAATTTCTTTACAACTGAAGCAACAAGAAAAGGCTTTCGATTCCATCGTTGATGATAAAATTTTGGCTCTTTCGCAAGAGCACGCCAAGGAGCGCGATAGAATCAAAACCGAATACAACACCAAAATTTCCAATATCCGTGCCGAGAATTCGGCAAACCTTGCTGTGCTGATTTCCGCGAAATCGGAGCTTGAAAAGAACTTGAAACAATTGCAGCACGAGGTAAAAGTGAAGGAGCAATCTATCAGCAATTTGACGGGTGATGTTGATTCGCTTAATAGGTCGACGGATATTTTGAACAAAAAGCATTTGGACCTTCAGGTTGCATTGGAAAAGGAAACAAAGCAATGCACCACTTACTTGAAGGAGCTGGATGAAAAGGACAAGGTCATATTTGCCAGAGATGATGCCATTGAAGCAGTTTCGCAGAAGGTTGAATTTTTATCTGCAACCCTGCGTGCGCTTGAGCAAGACCATTCAAACTTGGAACTCCAGGTTGAAGAAAAATCTTCGCTCCTGATCAGTGCAAACGCTCAGGTGGACAAGTTGGAAGCACAGCTTTCCAAATTATCGCTTCTGTCTTCCGAACTATCCAAAGAAAACTCGGTCTTGCAAGATGAACTGTGCATGGCGCGCCAGTTGAATACAACCAGTCTGGCAGATGCAAACGAAAACATCTCGACATATTTGAACCTTCTGACCGAAATCGATGAGAAGCTCCAAATCAAAACAGACGAACTCGATGCGATGCAAGAGCAGCTTGCTCAGGAGAAACTATCAAACAATCTGCTTACTTCAGACCTGGATCATTACATGAGCAAGCTCAAATCGCAAGAAATCTGCAACGGGGAGCTTTTATTTGCCTTGAAAAGCGCCGAACACGAGCTAAACACTCTGAATGAGAGGTTCGCATTTCAATCCCAAAATTTGGATGAATTAAAGTCTGTGATTGTGTCGAAATCGGTTCAAATCGAAGATCAGAATCTGTCATTGACCAGGCAGAAAAACCTGATCAAGGAGCTGGAAGAGACAAACAAGTTTTTAACCCAATCTCTTCACTCCGCTACGGAAGACTTGGACTCTATTGCTACCGAAAAGGGCGCAATTAATCTCGGCTACTTGGAGCTTGAGCAAAAGCTGGCCTCGCTCAAAAAAGACTACGATTCGGTGGCCTCCGATTTGGAGCTAGAAAAAACCATGAAGAATGATCGCGTTTCGATCGTAAACAATCTGAGAAATCACAACCTCTCTTTGGAGAGCATGCTTTGCGTGGAAAGATCTCGCGTCAAGGATCTGGAAAAGGAAAAGGTAATGGCCGTATTTTGGGTGTAACTTTTAGACACATTTTGAGTTCCTGTTAAATGACTTGAAGGGCAAGCTTTCGCTACTAGAATCAGATGCAGCTGCATCGAGCGATGCAAGCAAGGAGGACGAGGACGAAATATACAGTGTGCTGTTTTCCAATGGCTCGTTAGCAAGAGCCCCTTCCATAATGTCGCTCTCGGCCAATGGGCGCCGAAATGTGTCGCCCTCTCCATTGAGGCCGCTAAATTCGTCAATCCATATGGCGGACTCGGTCAGTTCGCTGGCAAAATCGCCGGTCTACCTTACTCTTCGTAAGCAGCTGGATGAATTTCGGCAGATCATCTCCACCCTTTCGAAGGAAAAAACTGCGCTTTTGGCCACTTGCCAAGAATTGCAAAAGAAGATTTCTGTTTTGCAGTTGAATTCGGAAGGCTCTCCTCTGGGAGCAGACTCGCTGCAGGACGTTCTGCACAAATCAAATGCCAATCTGCTGACTTGTGTAAACACCGGAAACTATTCCATCGTAAAGTCGCATCAATCTCTTCATCTGAAGTCACCTGTCATATCAAATGACCTTTCAAGACTCGATGTGGTTGTGTCTGAAGAGGCTTGCACCGAAAATAATTGAGCTTTGTACGGAAAATAATTGAGCTTTGTACACCCCTTGAGCTCGGCCTTCTGCCCTGGTCCCCGCCACACACCCAATATATACGGTCATCAGAACAATAAACAAATAAACAAAATTTATTGCACTTGAAACGGAGGCAGTCCCCAATCAGCTGGATCAAAGTTTTCCATGCTGGGAAGATAATGAACCAAAGGGTCATGCTTGAACAGGTCGCACTCTATTTTTGGGTCTGGAATCCAAATGACCTCCATTCCGGCGGCACGAGCTGCCTAATATGTCAACAGAGTCAAGCCTCACCGTTACGCCCACAGGCGAATCTTCAAAAGCTAGCACATCCGGGAATGGGCCCTGGTCTACGATGTCGGCATCCACCAATGGGGCCAGCCTATTGGCCGCCTCGATGAAAATGTCTGGAGAGGGTTTTCCTCGCTTGACACTGGGATCGTCGCCCAACACCATGATGTTGAATTTAGAAAACACATCATGATGGCCCGATATTTTCAGCTTGAAAGAGTTGCTCCGAGATGAAGTGGCAACGCCAATGGCAACTTTGTTCAAAGAAAGATGGTTGATCAATCTTTCTACGCCTGGGAGGATCCGGGCGTTTTGAAACATTTTCTATCATTAGGGGTGACATCGTACTCACAAGTAAGAAATCGGCCTCCTTGATGTATTCGTCCCTGGTAATTGGCAGGTCCAGGGTCGAAATCAGCAAATCCACACCTTCGTTCCAAGGCAGGCCCATGAGCGACCTTTTTAGCTCCCATTTGAGCTCCTTTCCATATCTTGAGCTGATTTCCTTTCCAATGTCAAAATATATCTGCTCAGTGTCCAGCAAAAGTCCGTCGCAATCAAATATGAGTCTCTTTTTAGTGCGCAATGCTGCTGGGTTAGTCATTTAAAATTAAATTCTTTATTCACATTCAATTTAGCAGCAACCAGGCCATACATTTGCCAAGCCCATTAATGACGTAACCATGCCGAGGATGCCGATGACGCCGGAATTCAAATTGACAATTTCCAGTATGTTCATCGGCAGTATAATATCCAGTGAATCCTGCAGCAATAGCCTGCACAATTTCCCACACTCGTTGTCGGTTGACAGTGAAAGCGATTTCAAAAACCAAAGTGCTGTATTTAAAGAAGAGCTCGGGGCATCTGCAGAGGCCTTCCTTGCTTCTAAAAGGGTCTGAATTTTGTGAATATCGGAGCAAATTGCAAAGAACAATCCGGCCATCCAGCCATATGCAGCAAACCGTTGAATCTTGTATGCTTGGTGCTGGTCCAGCTCTATGATTCTATTTATGTTCAACTACAACCATTAAGCGGACGCAAGATTACCCATTGGACAGAATCCAATAGCAACCACGTGGCCAAGCAAATCGACTTTCCGATCGTCAGGGATCTTAAAACATCATCGGGGATTTTTAACTGTGACTCCAGGATTATTTTGAGATTATCTATCGGCTTTCCAAATCGAAACACTACAAATTAAGGATGAACGTTACATTTTCGTGCCGTAGCCAATGCTACCGATAATCGGATCGTTTTTTCGATCGCCGATTTGGAGTATTTTTGCTGGGCCATATAGTATGCAAGGAACCGGCAAAAATATTGCAAGGTTCGATATATTTTGTCGCGTCCAACTGTGGTCTCTGTCAACTTTGTCCATGGCACAATCAGAGCTATCGATGAACGGGCCAATTGAGCATTTGAATGCATAGCATGGGACACTTTGGCTTCCATCGGTTGATCTATGAGAAATTTGAATCAATGTCACAAATTTAAATGCAATTTTATTATTTTAAATATTTTTGCCATTCTCAACTGGAAGACAACTCTCTAATACTGGATCCATCGATTTTAGACGCAGACTGGCTGAATATTCTGCTTGAAGGCATGTCCTCGCCTTTTGAGCACAAATCATCTTTGGAGTCCCACGGTTCAAAAGGTTGCTTATCATCCGATTTGCTGACATTTGACGACCTGCTAGATGTTCCAATAGAACCGTCGCCGTCTTTTGATGCGAACCACAATCGGCCCGTCTTTTCCAGCTCCCCTATAGCTAAAAAGCCATCTAAATTTATGATCGATGACGAGAGTGGTTCTAGCCAACTTGTTACCCAGGAGAACAAGATAGTAAATTTTCTCGACCTCGATGCATTGGAAAGTAGCGGAAACAATTTTGGCAATGAAATCGAGGGGGCAGACTATGATTCTGCAGGTTCTCTCGAAGATTTTTTCGTATACACCCAAGACTTGGAAACTAGTCCTGCAGACACCCAGGCATGTGATGAGGGCGAGCTAAACCTCAGGCCGAAGGACGGCGTATCCGATTTCTATAGATTTTCCCTGCAAACTCAAGCCAATCCATTTTTCTCGACAACCAAACAAACCTTTTCACATCAAGACGGAAAATATAAATTTGCAAGCAATTTTATTCTCAAGGACCAAATCGAGTACGATCAGAAATATGGCACTGCAGCTCTTTCTTCATCCGAGGAAGACTGATCGGGCTCTCAGATCAGCTCCAAATGCATTCGATGTCTTGGCCCGATGGGCCAAGACATCTGCAACGGGTTCTCCATTCGGAATATTTGGCCTTTTTGAGCGAAAATATTGCGGCCTTTCCATAAAAATCCGAAATATCTTGCCCGATTGGAGGATAAAATTTGACTGCCATTCGATTAGCTTTAAAACGACATGAAACTCTAATTTCGTCCCTATATTTCGATACTGGCCGCCCTTTCTTGCAAAATGAAAACGACGTCGATCGCTATCGTATTTGTGCTTTTTTTCGCATCGGAGGCATTGGCTCATTTGGGGTCAAAACACCATTCCATTTGGAGAAAAGACCCCAGTGTTCTTTTCCCGCTATCATGGCAGTCTTGTGGAGTGGAGAGCGATAGTTTTCAACTTAATGCCCTTTCAATCAGTCCCGATCCTCCAATTAGAGGACAAAAGTTTACCCTTTCCATCAAGGGCCATCTTAGCAACGCCATCGGGCCAGAAGATGTTGCAAAGGTTGTCGTGAAATATGGCGGATTTACCCTCGTTTCGGCCCTATTCAACATTTGTGAGAACTTGGGAAAACTCAATCCAAGCGAATTCAAGTGTCCCATTTCGGCCGGGCCATTCGATATTTCACATTCTGAAGTACTGCCAATCGAGGTGCCTCCGGGGAAATATAATATCCACGTGGAGGCATTTTCTTCCTCTCAATTTTCTGGAATCTTTTGTCTTGACCTAGACTTGAAAATAGGCTCCATTAAAGGTCCCAGTTCTTGCAGATCCCCTCATCATCAATTGCCCAAGATAAGCTTGGACCAATTGGTCACATTGAGAGACGCTTTGATCGATGCAGCGTATGAGATTGATGCCAAGAATTAAAATTAATAAACGCGATTTCCTTGAAAGATCGTAGTGCCCCGTCACATTTTGCCGGTACATTGTTTATTGGATCACTTTGAGGTTCTTGGATGTTTTAAATGAACATCCGGTTTTGGCCCTAATTTCCTCCATCGTGGTACCTTCAAACAATTCAATCAGCTCAAGACCTTCACCATTGGACAAAACATCAAAGACACACTTCAATAAGAAAACACTGAGCATTACCAGGTCCGTAATTATTCGGTTCACGCAGCTCTTTGCCGTGAGGGGAAGGTTGCAGCGATCCAGGATTTTAGGCTTCCCGTTCTCGTAATTATGGTCGTGAAAAAGTACCTTCGACACGTGCTCCATTGTGATCACTACTTTTGTCTCAAGAGAAGCTGCTAAATCCATGGCGCCGCCCATTCCTTTGACCATTTTTCCTGGAATTATCCAGTTCGCGAGGTCTCCATTTGAAGACACTTCCATGGCGCCCAAAATGGTGAGATCAATATGGCCTCTGCAAATTAAAAGCTTATCAAACGCACCCTCGAATCATGGCGAAAGACTCTTCAGACCCAAAAAAAGACGATCCAGGAAGATTGGTAGTGGTTTCCTTTCCTATCAATATGGATGCCATCGGCATACCGGCATTGACCAAGTCAGAATCTGCAAGCTCAACTGTTGAGGGGTAGGGTCCAAGACCCAAAAGGCCATTTTCGGTTTGCAGCTGGACATTGCAGTTTGGAGGAATATGTGCGGTGCATTGCATTGGCAGGCCAATTCCCAAGTTAACTATTGCATGCGTTGTGAATTCGGGGCTTACCATACATTCCGTCATGGAATTCCTGTGCTGCTCTTTTGGATATTTTATCTCGTTTTAGTTCGTCCTCCGACTTTGATTGATTTTTGTGCACAGACTTGGTATTGTCTAGTTTTAAGCGCTCAATTCTTTTTTCGTAATTTGAGCCTTCGAAAATATGATCCACATAGATTCCAGGAAGATGAACTTGTTCTGGGTCTAGAGAACCTATGGGGACGAGTTCTTCAACCCACGAACAATAAAAGCATCAATACCTCAACAATGGTAACCTTGGCGGCCTTGGCCATAACCTGATTGAAATTCCGAGATGTCTTGCGGAAAATCACATTTCCTAGAGAGTCCCCCTTCCATCCCTTGATTAGTGCAAAATCGCCACCTAAAGCCTTTTCCATCACATAGCTGATGTGGTTAAAGTTTCTGGTCTAAAATTAGCCAGAATGCAAACCTCTCGAGGCTCTGAGAATTCAATGACATCTCCAGACGGCGCATATCTGACTGCGTTTTCTCCCGTTTCGACGACCGTCCCAACGCCTGTTCGCGTATAAAATGCCGGTATGCCGGCCCCAAATGCACGGATCCTTTCTGCAAGCGTTCCTTGGGGAACCAATTCAACTTCAAGATCGCCGTTCAAGTATGCGTGTTCAAACACCTTGTTCTCGCCAACATATGAGGCAACCATTCGCTTTACTTGTCCGCTTTTCAGTAGAAGACCCAGTCCCCAATCGTCCACTCTACACAAGTACGAACGCCATATGTACCCTGCATTATTGCTGATTAATGTTAGGTCTCTTATCTCAGGCTTAGCTCGCAATGCAGATATAAGGTTCTCTGGAATCCCACAGAGACCAAACCCGCCAACCAAAATCGTGCTGCCAGACTTGACGGCGGAAATGCACTCATTGACCGAGTTTGCTGTTTTTTTGGAATATTTTCGACAAATGAGAAATGAGCTTTTCATGGATGTCTAAATTTCTCAAGGGGCTTGTATTAACAAGTGTAAATCTAAAGATCAATCAACGATTGGGTTTTCAATCCAATCCAAGCAGCGTATGGTATACATTTCGTTAGCCCCAAATTGGGAAAGTTTATAAATTAGCCCCAAATTGCAAGGCGAACACGATGGATTGCTTGGGATTCCGACAAATTACGGCGGCAAAAGGGCCAATTTTTGATCACGCAAGCCAGAATTCTTATAGCTCTCCTCATTTTCTAGTTTTTTCATCAATTTGAATTTGTATGTCGTTGTACGGAGCGGCGGGTCTCAATGCGCTAACCTATCAGCAACTTCATTCAGCGAGAAGCGTAGAACATAACAGACGGCTTTTTGGCCCTAGCAATACAAATGTACATTTCAAGTGGTGTAAAACGGCGTGATTTTAATGAAAAGAGCACATATATCAATACGGCATACCGATGACAACTTGAAGGAATAAAATTTTGTATTTTTACAGGCTCAAATCAAGGGCCCTGTACTGTCTAAAAGTACTTTCCAAACGTGAGCTGAGGTTTGTTTTTGTTTTCAAATGCACCTTCGAGGAAGGATATTGAAAATCTTGGAATTTGTTGTGCATCAAAGATATCTGCCTTCAAGTGTAACCCAGGCACAGCGGAAGATAGATATGAACCATCTTATTGACTTGCAATGTAAAGTGCTTGTCGAAGACTTGGATAGCTATTGTCCTGTCATTATTGAATGCTATTTTTTGGACAACATTGTGGATTTATTGGTTCTCTCAGGCGAAACAATATCTAGCATCTATGCTTTGTCATTTTGTTCGCACCCAACAGCGGGTAGATCGGAAATAAATTTGCTTCACAGCTTGCCTCCGATTCCCATTAAAAAGCATCTTACTTGGTCGTTTCCTGTTATCCCTGCAGACAATCTGGCGGACGATGATTCGGAAATGGTGGGCGATAAATTCGACATTGGGACCAAAAGATCATTGCTTCATTCCGGCTACTTTAAACGGATAGAAATCGATTCAATGCAGCTTTATACCATGAATTACAAGCAACGTGTTTTCAAGCTAGCCGGTACGCCTGTAGCGCTTAGAGATAAAGATGAGGTTTATCGGCTTCTGTCATTGCTCAAGAAAAAGTAAACTCCTGTTGCTCCCCTCTACTGATTGGCCAATCGGTTTCGTGTTTGGTTTCTTCTGCAATTATTTTGGAATTCAAATATGCTCGATAGCGTCAAGAGCATATCCAGGTATTTGTACAGCGTACTTTTCTGCATTTTAGTTTGCAGGGGTTAATTAATGAGTATCCCGAATTTCTGAAGCTGTCGACTCATCGTACGTATCCTCAGCCATCTACGATACAGCATTGGCAGTTAAGAGATATGATTGCTTGCCCCAATGTAAGGGGCGAAGTGTTTATGGCCGTAAATACGGGCGTCAAAATATACAATATCAACAGCGCACATCAGCACCCAACCGAATCTGTGTGCAACGAATTTCCCGGAAAGCTGATACCTGACATGCCCAATGACACTGACAGATTTTCTTCCTCTATAAGCTGGCCAATCCGGGATCTCATGTTTTCGCCAACCTGCATATGTGCAAAGTAAGGCATGCTATTTGATCTCTCAGAGGTGAATACCTGGCCGTGGGAGGACAACAGGGCCAAGTGGTGGTTCGGCACTTGCCCAGCAGTGGGTCTGTTTTACGCATCGTTACGATTAGATATTTTTTCACGCAGTTTGGAACATCCATCGTCAATGCAATTAATGTTCACAGCCATGCTGGCATGTCGAGGCTGATTATTTCTAGCAATGACGAGAAAATCAGGGTGATAACGCTGCCCACGCTTCAGGAATACACTTCGTTTTCAATGCCAATGGCGATTAACTTTAGTACGCACCTGCTTTTGCTAAATGTTCAGCCGAAATCAGTCCAGACAAAAAGAAAATGGTGGCCGTTGGAGACTCGCCCAAGGGATATCTATTTGATACTTCTCGGTATGGGGAATACAAAAAGATACAAGCATTTACAAGTAAGAATGATGAACCCTTTAACGAAATGCAGCCACCGATGCAGCTTTTTCTTGCTCCTGGAATGCGGCGTCTGATAAGTTTGCCATTGCCTGTCAAGACGGCTACGCATGTGTTTGGGATATCAGAAACTTGGACAAAATTTTGGCTCGACTTCCAACCACTCAGGTACAAATTCGCCGGCTTTTATCTTCATCAAGGACAAGGAAAGGGGGGCATGTAGAAGGGTTCACTTTACATCCCTAGAAACCGTGGATCTTTTGTTATATTCTGAGGTTTGATATGTTCTTATTTTCAGCATGTAAATTGTGTAAATATAGCCGATGCTCGCACATTTGATGCTTTACAGTCCATTTCCATCAACAATAACAGCAACAGTTCTCAAGAGGACAAGGTCATTACGGGGATAGCATTTTCTCCAGACACCTCCGTGGCCTATGTGGGTAATATTAACAATCGCTCCAACACCTAGGTACTGAAACGGAGCTACATGAATTTGAAATCAACATCTTTCTAAAGGATACCATTGCTGCAGGTGGTATATTTTAAGGCAAAGAGCACATTTAAAAATTAAATTTTTAAAAATTTTATGTTTGACCCAACTTTTTCCTCCACTCGGGTCCTTCAGGGTGCGGTCAAGTCGGCTTCGTCCACAATCGCCGATAAGGTGTCGAATGTTCCCGCAGAAATTATCGCTTATTTGCTTCAGCTAAATGGCGAGCTGAAAAGCTCTTCTCAACAGGAGGTTTCCATCATTACGGATAGGGTTTTCGAAGAATTAAACACATCCTATGCCAAGCATCTTGTCGGTATCTGTGGACACTACGAAGGCTCCAGACAACTTGAAAACATGCTGTCTATTTCCCGGTCATTTGTTCCCAAGTTTGGCTCTCTATTAAGATCTTATTTTGTTGAGGCTGATATTCTATCGCTTGCGAAGGATAAAATCGGATCTCATGTGCTGCAGTCATTTATCATTGAAAGTCGAGTGTTTCTCAAGACGAGCGGTCCAACTTTGACAGAGACAATCAAGACAATTGAATACATTTTCTCTGTATTCCTCCCCATCAGGTCTGCCAATGTCCAAGAAGAACTAATGACAGACCA